CAAATACTAATGCATGAAAATCCTAACCTCAAAAAAATCACCCGTTATGTAAGTCTGCATATAAAAATTGTGGATAAATGTTGGTCAGCTGGTCAGCTGGCCTGCTGGTTATTTTTTGCGTTTATTAACTTAATTCGCATGCGTTTGCACGCACAGAATGTGCTGGTAATTTTTCCATAATTTTTGTAGCAAAAATGTGAGGCCTTTAATTAAGCACAATTCGTGTTAATGCAATAAAAAGTTGTGTATGTACAATTATAATTGCCTTTTTTACGATGTGGTCTTACATACATAAATTGTTTGCATGCCGAGGTAACTAGTTTGATGTTCGTGAAAGAGTTTTGCGTGCAGGGATATTTTTTGTACATATGTAGCATTTGCATGCCCGTATGTAAAATATTACTGTATTTTTCAATAGAAATTTGTGATATTTAATTTATATGAGAATACCAAGCAGCCGTACCCATTGCATGTTTTTTGAAAGGTAATTAAACAAATATTTTCTGGTGCTAATAAAATTTTCCTATTCTAGAAGGGCGTGTTACTTTTTATACCCGAGCGCACTTGTGCACAAGGGTATATTAATTTTGTTCACATAACGGTTGTTTGTAACAGCCAAAACGAATCGAGATAGATATAGACAAATGTATACATAAATGATCAGAATGAAAAAAGAAATCGATTAAGCCATGTCTGTCTGTCCGTCCGTCTGTCCGTCTGTGTAATGTAATAAGCTTTATTTTCTAAGAACGGAAAATTTTCTTTTAATAAAAATTTCTTAAATGCCTTTCAATTGCATATAATAAAATTATATTCAGCTCTTCGCTCTTACAGTCCTTCCAGTCGAATTTATTTTAAGCATTGGGTTCCAGAGCTTTGGCAAAAATATGTATAGCTTACGACTTCAATCACTCCCAAAATGTCGATTTGCTTTAACTAAACTTTCACCTCAGCAGCAAAAGCATTTTGTGGCCATTTTATTGGTCAATTAAGATAGCCCACACTGAGACTCTGCTGTGATGGCCCAGCATTGAGGAAATGTTGTTGTATGTGGGTTTGTATCTTTGGTGGATATTCTGCTTTCCAATAAAAACATAAAAATTCGTCGCTGCGCAGTTGACAGAGCACTATGTACCGACGAGATATTATTTTAATGTTTTCATTGTACAAAATTATGACGCTCAAAAAATTCTAAAAGGGAAATATCTTACTAATATTATAAATGTGAAGGTTTGTTTAAGAGTTGCCGCCTGTTAAAAAACTTTACTTAATGAAATAATTTCAACCAAATACCGCAATATAGGTGTCAATCGAAAAAAAGGGTTAAGAGTGCTAAATTTCGAAAATATTTTGCAAAAGGGTTGCCACCTGTTCGAGAATGAAATTTTGCACACAGCTAATTTATCTTCTTGATTGCCAAATAGGCTACTTCTTCAACCGCTTTCCCGATCAGAATCAAATTTTGCACATTTATTGCAGACTTCCTAAGGATGGTCATAACTGGAACTTTAGAAGTTATAGGTATTAACTTTTTGCGAAATTATTTAGATTTTATTTATTTTCTCGCGATTCTTAATACCGATTCTGGTCATTTTCTAAACAGTCAAGAACGATGATGTTTTCTTCCCAGTTTTATTTTTTAATTGGTCATAAAAATTTTCTTATAAAAGTTATTAAAATTTTTTAAAATATTACTGACATCTCAATGGCTTTAAAATCGCGTTTTGGTAATATTAAAAACAAATTTAATAACTTTTATAAACATTCAGGTTCAGATATGACGATTTTAATATAGAAAAGCAGAGAAAAGCTTTTTCCACTTTTTCTGATGTATTTAGATAATTTTTTTTGCAACGGATTTAGGGTTTTTTGAATTAATAAATACGCCTAAAACTTTTTTACTCGAAATTTGCATCTGCATATGTCACTTTTCCGATACGAATACAATTGCATGGCCTGTCAAATTTGCAGCATTCAATTCACTCTTAAACAAACTTCCTTTGAAATCGAAGCAAACAAAAAGCAAAGTTGATTATATCTGTGTGCATTTCATCATACATGCATTTGCTTCGTACGGAAAAGAATTTCACTCGTCTCTCGATTGCGTGTTTGCAATTGCCTATATAGATATCGATTGTTCTCTGCAATACCGACACAACTCAAAGATAAAAAAGAAACCCCTACTACTGCACAGTGGCACACGTCTCTAGTCATTGTCAAATCTGTGTTCTATCCTTACTAAATCTTTATTACTGCTTTAAAAATATTTAGTAATGATAAGACATCGATAAGACCAGGCTTAGAGACATGTGCCACTGTTCAGTAGTAAGTGTGTTTATTTTAGTTTTGAGTTGTCTTGTTATTGCAGAGGACCACCGTAAAAGCAAAATTTAGAGGCGATAAATTTTCATACTATTTCTGTAACTCCTCCCTAATACCGGCGTATCTGGAATAATTTGTTGTAAAAAATGGGGCTACCGCTTAAAAAATTACAAACCTTTTCTTTTTTCGAAAACTATTTCAAAATCAGGAATCATTTGAAATGATTCAGACCAAGCTTGTTTTCTTTTTACGTGGAGTCAATCGAAAATGCTTTATCACACAGTAGGGAAAATCTCAGGTTTTGAAATACCACAACAGAAGCGCCGAAACTCGAAAACTTCATATAGGGTTGTAGATTATGGATCTGTATACCGTTTTTCCTGATCATGTCCTTTTCTCAGGATACATATTTCAATTTTTATAAGAAAAATTTTAAACTTTAACAAGGAAAAAATTAAAACAATAACCAATATTTTGTAATTTTTTTCATTTGTATTAAACCCTTTTTTGCAAAAAAAAAAAAAATCAAGCTATGAGCCATGAAAATCAATGTATTAATAAATAAACCAATTTGGAAGAGTAAAACGAAAGTGTTACATACATGGCGTATGAGTAACATTTTCCATCTTAAAGTTAAATTTTTTTATTCGCGATGCAAATTTAAAATGAAAATAACTTGGGAAAATTACCTGATCTAGAAAAGTGGTATACAGATAAGATAATCTTCAGCCGAAACTTAAGCTTACATCTCTCGGCGTTTTTTGTGGCATTTTGGCGTCCCTACAGTGTTATTTAAAAATATGTTGAGAAGTTTCTGCAGTCTAAATTTTTCCTTAACCTTAACCTCTTTTACCTAAAAATTAGACAATGACAGTTTCAGGTGCATGTAACAATGCTGTTAACCCATTTGCGATTCACATCCATAATGCTGCTACTTGCCGCTTGCCCATAGGAAAATTTAGACATAACCAGAAAAAAACCATGCTGGTTTACTATCAGTGGAATAGAAAATTTTATCGTCACAAATATTTTGGACAAACGTACACCATTGCAACCATAATGCTAAAATGAAAAAATTAAAAATAAAATATTTATAACAAACATGAGCATACTTATGCATGTATGTGCATGCAAGTTAAAGTGAAAATATGTGTCAACTAGTATTCAAAAATGCATACGCTGTCGTTTGTGCAAAAACTACATAAATACTTGAGTGTGGCCAAAGCCGCAGGCCTCCCAATTTGTCAAATGTTTTCTTTGCGGTTTATTTTATTTTAACAAT